GTTTTCTCCGATGGTGGTACAGGCGAGTTTGTACTGGGTTTCTGGATGGTGCGCAATGCAGGCTTTCCGCGGGTTCCAATACTTGCCTGCCTCAGAAGCGCAGGGGCGGCTACCTGCAAAGAATGCTGTGATCCACTATCATCGGAGTCGCCTTCCAAGTAAGTACCTAATATCTCCGACTCGGCTGGCCCAGAGCACCAACTAGGAGGATATGGGCGACTTGGCGCGTGAAGCTCCCTTGAGATCGTGGGGCTGTCGGGCAATTCCTCGGGAATCGGTGAGACGGAGGATCCACGATTATCAGTTGGTCGAGCTGCTGGCATCGGCGGAGCAAGGCCACCCGCCTTTTTCAGTGGAAATGCTGAGGAAGCAACATGCTCCGTGGGTGATGAATGAGCCGTCCCCGGCAGGTCAGTAAGAGAGATTGTAGCGACTGACGAAACTCCGGACTGTCTAAATAGGTCTTCAGTGGCAATGGATGCTCGGGGCGTCGAACCTGCAAGAGTGCTTGGGCTAGGGGGAATTGGAATTCTGATTGCTGGTCGCGGTGCATGTTGAATTGGGAGAGGTTGCGAGAAGGACGGGACAGGCCGTTTGATGTTTAGCGGGCTGGGTACAACGTCAACGCTCCTTTCCGAGTACACAGAAGGCGAAGGGCAGTCGGGCCGTGGGGGTCGCTGTGGTGGAGGACCTTTGGGAACTAGTAGTCGCGCGTGAGCGTTGGCTACGTCGATCTGCTGAAGTCCATCGTTGGGTAGGGGCCATTGTGTCAGATGAGCCGGATTGGTCCTGAAAGTAGACACTGGTTCTGGAGCTGGCTCGGGACGTTTTCCAGCTTTCAGCATCTCCCTTGCTCGTCGTACTGATCCTTTTCTCTCTACGGGCTCAGAGCCCGTATCCGCTGGGTTAGGTTCCATGTATTAGCGTGGAACGGGAGATGACAACTGCAGCAAGCGCGATATGATGTCGCGGTGAGTGAGTTCGATCCTTGCTAGCGCATAAAACAAGAGCTGGTACCGCTCTGCTGGCTGGCAACTGATCGCTGACGAAAGGTAACCCAGCCGCGGCGTCGATAAGCGAGCGATTGTAGACAGGTTGAGCGGGTGACGCTGATGGAAGTTTGATAAGTTGCGTCTGTCCGTTGCCTAGTAACAACAGACTTGGGATTTCAAAAGAAGGTGGATGTTGAGAATGATCGTAAGGGCACTCAATGCCTCTGGAGGGGACAGGTAAGTTCAATGTCGCAAGTCGGCTGGTGCACATTGTAGGCAGCGAGACGATCGAGGGTGCATACCACAAGAAACAGGTCTTACTCAAAAGAAAAGGAAGAAGCAATTCAAAGACTCTAAGTCACAAGAACATACTATAAGACTTGCAAAGTCTAAGAAGAATCCCCGGCTAGTCACCAAGCCCCTGAGCGCATAGAACAGAAATTGAAAATCAGCAAGCCTTCGTCATGATTCACCTAAGACACGAAATGGGAACTTACAGAATCTCCCACAAAGAAAAGAAGAACCGACCAAAGGGATCGAAAGGACCTCTAGCCCTTACCCCCAAGAGAAAAGAGCGGACGACTGGACAGTACGAAGTAAAAAGAGAAGAAAACAACTCCCAGCGCGTGTATAGACGGCAAGCAGGTCTTTGGGCGATAACGCCTCCCACGGACGGAAAGTCAGGCCCAGGGGTTTCCGGAAACCCAGCAAACCTAAAAGTCGGAGGGAGATACTAAAGACACTTCATTTCCGTGCTTTGCCCAGGGACTGGACTCAAAGCAGGGTGCGCCGGCGCAAACGTTTGGGAGTCACACCCGTTCAAGTCTAGGTGGAGTTGGAGCCAAAGCGATAGCGCGGAGACAGGCACGGGAGGTCGTTTGTGACGGAAGGGATTAGATCCTTAGGAGCACCGGATGACCTGCTAAACTGCTACTAGGCTTCAGGATAGTCTAACCGCCGCAGATATGCCGTCGTTGTACTCAATTCCCAGAGTGGGTGGTGCCTCGTTTCATGGAGATGCGCCGGACGCAACAAATCGACACCCGCGGGGATGATCAATTGATATGGATTAGATAGTATTTCTTTGTTTCAATTTGCTTTTTTCCCCTTCCCCTCGCTTGCAGATAATCTTGCACACACAATGCAAAGCGCTGCTGGATTATGGAGACACCAAGAGTCGCAAGATTATGCATATTCCAGTCATTTTGACCGGAGAAGTCGAATAGGCGAGACGGCAAGGACCATAGACAGGCCAGAAATTGAGATCCTGAGTAAACGGGAGGAGCTAAGGGACCGGAGCTAAGACCCATAATGGAGGAAATACAAGGGACGGCGAGCGGCCATTGGGCGGGCGGGGCACACCCAAGACTCGCAGAGGGACCAAAGAGCATGGCGGTTGACACTAGAGTCTCAGCTTGAGCAGAAGTGCCACTCGCTGGAGAGCGGCATTGCGGCCCTGGAACTTCAACATGAAACCAGTGAAGTCCATCCGTGGGTGAAGGTCCAATGATGGTGCAGAACGAACAACCGGAAACACGGGCGTCGGAGGCAAGAATCACGAATTGCATTCACTCCTCAGTCCGCAGAATGGGGAGAGTTCCACCAGGAATTCATGAAGCGAGTCAAGCGACGTGTGCACCGGGGGGTGGTTCGTGCCATGATTTGGTCCTGTCCTTCCAGCGGCAGTGCTGACGGCTCAATTCCATGGATCAGCATCATACTGCAATAACCATGATCATTATCATGATAATAATCATAATCATAATCATACAAACAAGGGCTAGTCGGATTGTTAGGCCATTCTCGCCAGGATAGTTGCTCGGGCACAAGGCCAGTTTGAGGTTAGCGAGGTACGGAACTCATTAAAATGATTAAAATAGAGTTTATCGCTTAACAGTCGCTGTTATGATGGTACGTATTGTTTATTGTTCTGGCTGGCAAAGATCATATGAGGGACCTGCCACGCGGGAAAGATGCAGGAGAATGGATAAGAATAGTTCCAGTCTCCTCTTTTTTCATTTATTGCGGGACTGAACCGAGTGGAGGGTGAATATGATGGATGATGATGATGATGATGATGATGATGATGACGAAGGGAGAAGAAGTAAGTTAGTAAACAGAAGAAGTACGCAGTAGAAGATTAGCAGGAGAAGAAGGGAGAGGGAGGGAGGGAGGCAGGCGGAGATGGAACTGGAAGAAGTCCCAGAAACAGGCCGGAAAAAAAACCTCAGGCCACAAACAAGTCTTTCTCTTCTCTTTCCCCCTCTCTCTTTTGCCCAGTGATCCCCTTTTCCCCCTATCTCTAGCAATGATGATTCATAGTCCAGTTCTAGTTCTAGCTCTAGCTCTAGCATCCTTTACAAGTTCACAACGCTATTATATCATTATCCTGGGTCCATTTGACTCCATTATCTGTTTACAAAAATAGATCGGGTCTATCGACAGGACTGACCACCGGCGAGATCCGACAATGTCTCTACAATTCCGAAGAATTAATTTGAAGGTGGAGCTGAGGTCTTCTAGAGCTCATTAAGAACATGTCCATAGCTCGCTGGTTCATATACAAAGACTCCATCTTCCGGCGTTCGTGTTGCGGCTGTGCCTGCGAAGACATCTTCACTTATTATTCTTGGCCTATCGCACTTCTTACCTTCTCGATCTGCTGCTCCACCGTGCGCATCTCAACAACAACATTGGCCAATTCCGAGACCCGACCCTCGACAGCTTCGGTGAAGGACTTCTGGGCGCTACGCAAAGAAAGGGGCAACAAGATTCCGTACCAGTAGATCGGATCCGACGACCGAAAACGCCTCTTCGCTTTCTTCGACTTCGTATCTGTCTCCGCTTCTGCTGGAGGAGTATCCGCAGCCATTCCTGAGGCAGCGGCTTGGCTTGTGCTTTCTTCGGCGTCTTGGGTCCCATCGTCTTCGGCATTTGCAGTATCTTCCATTGAAGAGGATTCGTTTTCGTCGTCCATCTCGGATCGCTCCTTGGGCTGCTCGACCGTGACGGATTCGATTGCGAAGCTATGCTGGAACCTTCCTGTTGAGGAAGTCTTCTCCAAAGTTTCTTCTTTGGGAGTCGAGTCGGCCCCCGAAGCTGGGTGGGAAGCCGCTTCTTGTAGGTTCCTGCATAGGTGCGATTTATTGGTTGGTTAGGCGTTCTGGTAGACAGGAGGACAGTCTCGAAGAAACTGAGGTGTGTTGGGACTCACACTCTCCTTGTCGCCTTCATGCGCTCATCGTAGTAATCTGCTCCGTATCTGCGCCCAGGTGAACAAGTAAAGTTCGCCTGCGCGAGGGAAATGAACCCCTGATGAATCTTAGCAATTGTCCGCCTGCGATGTATGGTTAAGCCATGCACAGTCGCAAACATACCGAGGACAGCCGGGCACCCAAGTCGGCTTGCAATTTTTGGTGCTGATCTAAAAGGTGAAGGTACCGCTCCAGCAAATCGTCCAGCATCTGCAGATGGTCCAGCTGCTGTTCAGGCTTCGATTCATTGGAGCCATGCTCCGTTGAGGGTGAACCATGGCGGGAAGCCGGAGGGGTCGGGATCTGCTCCATTGGGCTACAAGCAGTGTAAATGGAAGATCAGACGTGAGCCAGATAGCAGATCAGAGCGCCGATCAGCAGTTTGTTTTGAATATGACAGGCGCTGGTTGTGTTGGTGGAGGAGGACGAGAGGGGAAAGCTTGAAAGCGGCGGAGACCCCGTGGAGGAGGCCGGGCGAGCGACTAACTCCGTCATCGCAACCTCCGCCGAACACCAAAAGAATTTCCCGAGATTCTCCATTATTGTTCCCTGCCTTTTCTCTCCGCGCCTTATCCTCCTTTGGCCTCATTCTTCCCACTTCATAATTGAGCCTTACCTCTTGTGTCTCGTTGAGTTCATTGCGTGCTGAACTGAACACCTGTGAAAGTCTCCTCGGTACTGAAGACGTGACCCGGTCTTTGGTTTGCTTGCTCCGAACAGCTTCTCTTCCGACGCCACTTCGACTTGCGCTGGTTCTCAGGTAATTTTACCCCTCTATCCTACAAACCTCGCTACTCCAGACTCTCCGGGCGATATTGGCTCACTGATCGCGGTTGACTTGGAATAACTCGTCACATACTGACTTGAGTCCGTTTCATCTAGACGCTTCGCAGTCCAGCATTTCGGAAAAGACGTGCTCGGAGATAGCCGCATTTGGGTCTTTCAGGCATCATCCATATCAGCGATTCTCTTTACTTTCATCCCCCCTTGTTTAACTATACTATTCTGAAAACTCCCCTCTCCACTCTTATTGAAAGCCTGACATCATGTCTGTCCCTACGATCGGGCGCGATACGGCCTTCCAGGTCCGCTCCTTGGTATGTTTCCCTTGTTCATGGGGAGCCTGAGTGTATCCTTGTGACCAGCTTGAAATTGAAGACTAATCGCCCACGATTACTCGTGTAGTTCCGCTCATTGCTGCGTCAGTCCTCCCAGTTCTCGAACTACAACTTCCGCGAGTACGCCCGCCGGCGCACAGTGGATGCCTTCCACGAGCATCAGAAGGAGACGGAAGATAGACGGATACAAGAATTGATCCAGGATGGAATCCAGAACCTGCGGATGCTGAAGGTTAGTCATACCAGGAGAGGGTCATGGCTTCGGGGACATTCGGGCCCAGCATCGCTGCTCCAGGGCCCTTCGCCGATTTTACTGAGGATTTAAAACTAACATACACTCCAGCGTCAAACTGTGATCAGCCAGTTCTACCAAATGGACAAACTGGTTGTCGAGGGTCAGAATACAGTGAGTCTTCTAAGGCGGATATTCACATCAAAGTCTCAGCTAATTGGGAATCCAGGGCAAGCAAACTGGTAGTGAGGGTGGCATTGTTCGCCAGAAGGATACTGGGTAAGATGAACATCCTCGACATGCTTGTCAAATTCTTACTGACCGGGTCATAGCTGGGACTAAACAAACTATATATGCGATTCATGATTTGCCGGCGTAGGAACGGAGTTGCTGGGGATTGATCTTGATATCTTGCGCCGCCGATGAAGGATTGATTGGATAGACTGGAGGTGCTCTTGTAATTTTATCAAAGCCGACTCACCGCGTACGTTGTAGGTAGCACCGATACTAACTTCTCTGAAAATACCATTCTTCCCTCTTTAACTAGTAGCCCAACTTCTTCCATGTCCATAATGGTTGATTGGAAATCAATGGATTCTGCCATCAGCCCCAGTCACGTGGATCCGGCCGGGGGTTGCTGTTGCCGCCTTCGGTCGCATCGCGACCATCAATCAATCAAGCAACCAACCATCAACTTCCCCAACACTCCTCGGATTCACCGTCACGCTCACGCCAATTGTCTCGTGCAGCCCGGCGCATATTCTCTTTGCATTCAGCGGATGGGCGACAGGCCTCACAGTGTGCAATTCATCCAGGTCTGGGAGTGAGCTAGCAGCATCAAACGCTCACGATGCCACCTACCGTAAGTTCCCTCGCCGACAGCTTCAATGCCGAGAGTAGCACCAGCTCCGCGCGTCCCAATACTCGAACAGAACGATCGAAACGATACACAATTCTCTATGAATCTAGAACTGACTCTCTGCAGTTCAGATCCTCACGCTCAGGGCGACAATTCGGTGACGCCGCCAACCGCAACCGAACGGGTCAGGTCGATCACGACGTGTTTGAAGGACTCCCCGTACGACGATGGACGCGCCAGACTCAGACCGTATCACAAGAGCCCAAAAGCGAGGCACCCGACACCAATGACGCTCAAGGTCCGGGAGGGCGACCCACTATCCCCGAACACCCAATGCCCCGAGACAGCCACCTGTTGGCCCCGGCGAGTCGAGCGCTCCTGCGCGCAGCCCGCGCAGGCTGCATCTATATTCGACAAGCTTCGAAGGACTTTGAAGACGAGGAGAAGGAGGCGACCGATGGGGAGGAGCAACCTTTGGTCCAGAGCACGGAACGCAATTTTGTGACCCGCAAGTGGACGTCCGTCCCAAAGCATCTCGAGGCCGTGGAGGTGGAATTCCTTGCGAAGAGACGGCCGGGGATGCCATCTTTGTATGGTACGTCTGCAAATGCAGATGGGTCTAGTGCGGGTCCGATGAGGCGGACTCGTTTCAAGAAGGTCGACCCGGCTACAGGAAACATTTCGATTTATGAGGCTTGGGTGCCAGAAGGACATAAGATTGAGGGAGAAATTGCCGACGATGCTCAGGTCGCTGCTCCGAGTAGCACTGTCACGGTCACTCCGGAGGCCCCGGCTCCAGGAACTGTCATCGAGGGTGTGGGGGTGGTCAACGCAGAGGGCGTTGTGGTTGCAGAAGCCGGTTCGGTGAATGTAATGACGCCTCCGAAGAGGCGACCTCCCCCTCCGAAACGCAAGGCCAAAGGTGTCGGAAAGGGAAGAAGAAAGAAAGTCATGTTCGCTCCTGGCGACGGTGCGGATGCCTCTCAGGTGCATGGGGTAGGGGGGGCTGATGGTGCGGCAGACAAAGAAGATGGCACGGATCCCTCGAGATTGTCCGTTGACCAAGCTGGCCAGGACGATGACGACGAGGAAGGTGAGGATGGTGATGAGAGTGACGATGGTGATGAGTCCATGCTTGATGCAAAGACACCAGAGGCTTCGGTGCCACCGACAAGCACTGAGCCCTCGGCTGCTCCGGAACCCCTGCCAACACCGGCACTGGCAGTTGCTGAACCGCAGCCACCAGCTGTCGAAACACCTTCTGCTGCTGTACCAGAGACGCCTTCACAAACTACAGTAACGCCACCAGCTCCTTTCGAGCCTTCAGAAGTATCTCTCGGTATCTCCACGCCAGTTTTGGCCGAAAGGTCGATTGAAACTTCAGCACAACCCGAGGACGTGGAGATGGCGGATGCCACTCCTCAACATGAGCAAAGCATAAAGTCTCCTCTTCAGGTACCAGTTTCACAGGAACAGACAGTTCAAGAAAGTGCAAAGACAGCCTCGCAGGCACCATCTCAAGACACACCTCAGGCACCCGTCGCAGAGACTCTTCCAATCACAGCAAGTACGGAACAGATTGCTCCGGTATCATCAGTAGTTGAGCCATCGGGAAGTGCTGATGAGACAGCTGGGCCACCGACCGAGCAGCCCCAACACGATGAGGACACGGTCATGGAGGATTCCGCAGCCCTCCCGGAAGCTGCTTCCAAACCGGACTCTGAACAATCAGCTCCTGAGCCTCTGGTGACCCAGAAATCCAACGCTCAACCCGATGAAGAAGGTACTGAAACTAAGGGGTCCGATCTACTCGCCTCATTGGAAGCAAGCCTGGACAAACCATCAGAAACAGCCCAGCGGAGTGAACCAACGAATGAGGTCGAGATGAGATCAATTGATCAGCCTGTTGTCACAGAGCCAATCGCGGAAAATACGCCTCAGACCGCTAGCGCAGCGGCAACTACTGTTGACCACCCATCTGTACATGTCACCGACTCGGTTTTGGAGCGGCCCGCGGAGCAGCCCGCTGCTCCTGATCCGGCAGAACAGGCTTCTCGGCCGCCTTCTGAGCAACCAGACAAACAACCAACTTCTGAAACGCCTGGACAGCCTACAGGACAGATCCCAGACAAGGCTGCCGCCCCGACTGCCCCGGCTGATGCCCCGGCTGCTGCAGAGCAAGCGGACAAGCCGGCTATCGAACAACAGCAGCCTCAGTCTGAGGATTCGATAAGTAACCAAATTGCACCGCAGGCCACGGAAGCCTCTGCTGCTGAGTCTGCGGCTCCGCCTACGAGCACATTAGCTGAACCGCCAGCCGAGCAAATACCCGACCAGCCAACTTCCACGCAGCAGCCTTCAGAGCCCCCAGTCCAATCTCAACCATCTATTGAAACGTCCGAGGAGCAAAAGCAGCCCAGCCCAGAGAAGCCTGCTGCCGTTGCTTCTTCGGAGGCAACACCTACGCCAGCACCGCAGCCAGCACCGCCTCAAGAGCAGCAACCTTCACCCCAAGCCCCTGAACCACCTACAACATCCACCCCTCCCGTGCCTGCGGCTGAGCTCCCATCAGAAACACCACAGTCCGAATCTGCACCTGAGCCTCAGCAACCCCCAGACCAACCCCAACAACCTGAGACTCAGGACTCGAAGCCTCCCGACACCACTACCGCACCCCAAGACCCACCACCAGTCGAACCCCAACAACCCCTACCTAACCCCGAACCCGTGGAATCTGCACCCGACCCAACTAGCGAAAACACAGATAAACCTGCCGAGGACTCAAACACAGCCGCTTAACTTCACTCCCCAAGCTTCACTGATCCCGAACAAACGGCGCAAGCAAGGTGTTTTGGTGCACACGTTCAGTCGGTTCCCATTCGAGCCACCTTTCGCAAACCTGGGGGCCAGGAATGATATATGCGGGGGGAAACTATTTATGCATATGGTTCATATTCCAATCTAAATAACTCTTTTCGCCCTCTTTCAATATCATACATTATTGTTTCTTGTTTGTCTTGTGGGCGGGGAGCAGAATTTCAATGCCGCGGGAGGTGGTTGTTCTCACACACCGGTCCCGTGGGATATGTACATATGCCCGTCGTCGATCTCCGTGGGCAGGCAAACAATCAACCGGTAGCCCGCAATTTAAAGCTAAAACATGTCCCAGAGAAGCCTCCTGTAATCCTCTCCACGTCGTAGCGTATCGTTACGGACGATCCAAGTATACCACCGAACTTCCTCTCGAAGTGCCGAACACCCCAACCGTAGTATGATCGGAAGTGTATAGAGATCACGTGACATATACACCACACGGGGATGTAGTTACCCACAGTACTAGATCACCAGGACCAGACACACCAGTACTGTATGCACCGCACCAGCGAGTGATCTGATCAACCCAACCATCCCGATGGAATACCAAGTCTCCAGATAGGTGAAGCCAGCCATTGCAGATCTTCGAAAATATGCTTCCGCACTGGTCACATGAGAATACTACGCAGTCCAACGATGTCCTTCAGCTGACGGACAGGGCCAGGGATGGCTAGACGGGAAACAGAAACTGCCAAATAACAGAGAAATTGAGTCACGTAACCTGACCCACTGATGGATGGCATTAACGGGATCACATTAGAGGGACGAGATCATACACGGAATCAACATACATCTGGAGTTGACCGAAACACCTGGGGAAACCTGAAAATATAGAGAGGAAAAAAGAATTCCAAGTTCCGAAGACGAAGAAAGAGGACGGAAATGAAGAGGCCATAGAGTTCAGAAGTTTTAAGAAAAGTGGAAGGGACAGAAGGGGTGAAGGGGTGGGGGAGGGGGTGGGAGGAGGGTTGGTATATTGTTTCACATGCAATCGGTGCAGGCTTGGATGAATGGAGGGAAGAAGGGGTAGTGAGAGTTTTTGAAAGAAGTTCGCTTCGCAAGAAATTAATTTCGATTCGATCCTGAGGGGAATAAGTCTCATAGGATGTTGACGAGACAGAAAAAAAAGGGTGTGAATCTCGAGTCCATTGCGAGATCGCAAGCAGAAAAAGAAAATACGTGAACATAACATGGAGTAGAGGTCCTTTCCAAATGTTGTTACCCAGCACGCCAAAGACGAATAGAGAAAAGCACATATCAAAAAGACGGATCTACGAGGACGGGGTCAGTCACCAGAACTTGGAACAAACAGCAGTTCATCCAAAATTTCGAGGGAGCTGCGATTGCGATACCCGGGCAACTTCTATTTCTTGCTCTTCCTCGGAGACGCGGTCTTCGTAGTCTTAGTCGCACTCTGCGACTTTTTAGGGATCTGCTTCACCCCTTTGGTAGGTGATTTGGTCTTGGATGTACCCTTGCTCTCTTCCTTCTTTGATGTCGGCCGTTTTCGTGAATTCGTGCCCTTCGCTGCTGCGAGAATCTTCGCCTTGGTGGCTGCGGAGGGCCGATTAAGCTTGGATGTTGTCTTTGTTGGCGCCGAGGTCTTTGCAGACTTCGCGTCCGGCGTCTTTTGGGTCTTAGTCTGCGTGGACTTCGTGGGCATCGCGGCTCTAGCCTTCGCCTTGGTTGCCTTGACGGTGGGAAGCTTGATCTTGGCTTTCGTGGGTTCAGGATTCGATGTTCGTTTCGTCGTAGCTGCTTTCGTGCTGGCGAGCGGTTTGACAGTCGCTTTGGTCGTCTTGCTCGTTGACTTGGTGACGGCCTGCTTGGAACGAGCAGAAGTCGATTTCGACACGGAAGCACGGGCGCGTGCGACCGCCTTCTTTACACCTGCCTTGACTGCCTTGGTTGTAAGAATCTTTTGGTTCTTGGTGACACCGGAAGGGGATTTGCTGAGCACCGTGCTGGCCTTCCGCTTGATGACCGGCTTCTTCAAGGCGGCCAGCTTCTGCCTTTCGTCTTGCTCTTTTGCGCGCCGGTCCTTCTCCCTTGGTCGCGGACCCAGGATCCCACGGCAATTAGAGGCGCCGCATCGACACTGTTGGACGTTCTTCTGGGAATAGGGGCTGCCAAGCATGTTAGAAGCTCCTCTGGCTCGATGAACACTGTCTACTCACTCGAAGTTGTAGTCATAGGTCAACTCCTCCCCAGTCATGATGCCCCGATCTCCAGCAAAGAGAGCCATGCGCGGCTTGCCAGCCACTGTCCACTTCTCCATGCGACAGTTCGGTTCACATGAATGATTCACGAAGCGAGCAATCGACCCCCGAGTAGCATCAATGATCATGTTTTGATCAAAGTACATCAAATAGTAGCACTAGAGCGCCCGTTAGTATGGAGTGCAAGGAGGCTGAAACACGTACAGACATACCTCATTGTTCTTGTATACCGTTCGCATTCGCCTCTCGCATTCAGTCTGAGTGATGATTTCACCCGTGTATTCCACAATGACTTGGTTGGGCTCGAATGTGCGGTTGCTGCGAACTCCGTAGCCGCGATCCTCTGTTTTAATGACCTCGACACCAACGTTGTACTTGCCACCGACTTTGGCTCTGTGCTTAAGCTCTTCAAAGCTCCGATTGCCACAGTCAGGGCCCAGCCTGCAATTGCCATCATCACACTCGTACAGCATGTGCCGATTCTGGCAATCTTCGTCGCAGCCAGTCTCCTCCGTACACATACAGTTGGACAAGTCGATATGCTTGTTTGCGCGCCATATGCTCCCAGCATCTCCCACAAAGACGTCTAGTCATCAAGTTAGCTCCTAATTCGTTAAGATTCGTGAGACAACCCAAGACAAGGCACGTACTTTTATTAGTCTTTCTCCACTCGTCAGGCTTTGGTTGACCGGGGGGCAGCGGCGAGAAGATATCGAACGGAAGCTGAAAGTCTCTTCCACGCTGCAGGAGTCTTTCTCCCGCAAACATGGGCATTGGTAACAGCCGTCGCTGAGGCGGAGCTTCGTTCTTGTTGTTCTGACTCTTTCTTCTGTTCCTACTCCGGCTTTGACTGGGCGGTCCAACCTCGCGCTCTTGCCCAGTGTACAATCCATGAGCCAGCCAGCGCTTGCGTCTGAAGCGCGGCACGGGGGGTGGTGCCGGTGCCGTTGCTTCCTGCGTAGTCTCTCCAGCAGCCTTGGCCGCAGCAGACAAGTCACTTTCCGAGACCCGTCTCTTCTTCGAAGAAGGGTCACTGGTAGGTGCAGAGCCCGGCTGCTCTTCCTTGCTAGGGGCGATAACATTGCGCGGTCGTAGTCCGGACCGACGCTCGCCGCTATCTTTGCCCTTTTCCGTCTCATCACGCGAGCGCTTTCCCAGGACGCTGGTCGCCCGGTCCACCAAGTCCGATGCCTTCTCCAAGAGGCTCAACCGCGATGAGCGTCGGGTGGGCTTTGGACTGCTCTCCTTGACAGCCTCCACGATGGTTGTAACCTTCTCCTGCTCCTTCTCGTCCTGGGTCAGCACCCGCTCCACGCGCTTGCGGAGACTCCGTCGCTGCACAGACGTGGTAATGTCCTCAGACGGCGGCTCCTGGGATGATTTCTCGGAAGCCTGCGTCTCCGGGGTCATGGGGTGGTTGCCAAGGCTCGACTGCTCATTGGCCCAGAGGGTTGTTTCCATTACCGCTATGCTGTGGCGGAGGTGGGAGGCGGAGGAAGAGGATGATCGCTTCGGCTTCTCCGCAACGGAGGGTTCGCCTTGACCGGCAAGTGATTGATCGTTCTCGTCTCCAAGAGAAGAGCCATTGTGTTTACCCGCCCCAGCCAGGTCGTCTGGTCGGAGGCCCCCCCGCAGCGAAGCGCGTGTTACACGTGTTGATCGGCGGCGTTGAGTCGGTTTCTCTTCGTGGGACGCGTTCTCATTGTTGCTTGAGGTCTCGGAGCGACTGTTCTCGGGGGTAAGAAGTTGTTCGGTGTACTCGAACGTCATTGAAGTGTCTGCATGGTCATGGGTGTGCTTTTGGAGGTCCGCAAGAGTGGCGGGTGTTGCGGGAGACGCGCCGGACAACCCAGTTGAGCGTTCCATGGTGAGAATCTTGGGGGAGAATCGGGATGCGGTGAGTATACGAAAGTCAAGAGTACTTCAACAGATATCAATAAATAGCGCCTGCGAGAGAGATTGACAGTCCGCAAGCAGAAGCAGTCAAATCCAAACTGGTTCTGACCTGAGGTGGGCTGTGTACGGGGAAGATGCGTGACTGAATCGGGTTGATGGAGGCCTTGTCACCAGGAGTGAACCGTATCAGAACTCAAATATCGCCCGGATCATGATAAATCCCGCAAGAAAGAACCACGGCGCAGAACTCCCACCTGGTAGAAATGGCTGAGGGCTTGGATGGGGGAGGAAAATGGGCGAGGGCGAGGGCGAGGGAAAGGAGGAAGAGGAGGTGCGGAGAGGGTTAGAGGAGGAGGAGTTGTCCGTATTATATTATTATCTCTCACCAGCCCCGAAAGGACGGCGCCGCGGAATGCAAATGGCTCAAGAAACAAACCCTCTCAGCGTAATTCCAATCCATAGCCTCTCTGTGCTGCAGACTCTTTCTCGTGCAGGCGGGGTTATACATTTCTTATAGCCATTATCCCAACATTGCTACATACATACTTCCATGTCATGCCGCCGGACTACCTCTTATGCGGCGGCATAACTTGCCCACCTTTCGCTCTTTTTCTTGCCAATGGTTTTTTTTTCGTTCTTTTCGACGCTTCTGTGCATCGCCTCTTCGACAAGCACCAATCGTTTGTAGTCTATCTGCACAAATGTATTCGACTTATTGTACATTGAACCCTAAACATCGCGTGATATCAAGTTGGGCCGGGTAACCGGAGATATGCACCTTCAGTAAAGGTGGCGTGCCTCTAGAGTAAACAACAAGGAAAAATATCTTGCAAAGAAAGTATAGCCAAGTGATGCTTCAAATAAGCTACTGGCGCGAGCATCTCGACATATCAGAGAAGAAGGAAAGGGGTATGTAAGGCTTGAAAGTTTAAGACGCCGGATGATTCAAAGGGCTGTGAAAAAGGTGCAACAGGCATTACATCTGCAAATAGTCTTGCAGGTAGAGAGAAGAAGAAAAAGAAGAGGTCGAGGAGGCAAAAAATTCAAAAAGGAACAGTTTACCTACGGTGCAATTGTAAGTTGTGTCATGAAAAAAAAAATAAGACATGGAGCCGAAAGGACCAAGGCGAAACGCAGAGTCCTAAATGAACGCCTCATTCATGAGGTTGCGAAGAAGGGACTCGCTGCATCTCAATGTCGGGCTGACGCTCAACATGGCGAGGGAGATACTTGCGCTTTACGGTGCTCAAGCGTTGGTCACCGGCATTGTAAGTTCTCTTAAACTGCATGTAAGTCGGAGGCCGCGGTCGCAAGAGCACGGACAGCCAATTTCGGATGGCACTGCCTTGCGTGAAGGGACGATGACGATCGACCTTGGCAAACTTGTGAGAGTTCAAGTATTCTCTAGTTGTCTCGCCTCGGCCAACCAGGAAGATGTGATACGTCCAGAGGGAAGCAGGATACGGCGCAGCAATTGCGCCATACAGCACCATGGCCCAAGGCACTCTCCATTTGTCAATCGCAGAGCCGAAACTGATATGTTCCTGGTTGCGGTATACCAGGATGTGAGCGAGACTGGCACCTAGGAGGAATAATGCAAGTAGCGTGGAGGATGCCACGAAGGTCAAAAAATAGCGATAGTTGCGCCGGCCCACACAGTTGTTAAGCCAGACACAATGATGATCCAGAGTTTCCACGCAGTTATCACACACTCGGCAGTGATAGCAGCGCGGCGGCCGCCAGATACAGCAAGTTTCACAGTATTTAACGGGGACATCCATGGCTGCGACGTCGGACGTCGCCAGTTTGACCATCACCCAGTCATTAGTCGGCGGGCCTACTGCCAGTGGATCAACTGAAGGGTCTGGTGGAGGCAACTGGTGAAGGTTTCGTGGAATTATCTAGAACAACAAATCAGCATGCGAAAGTGCAGCCTGTCCTGGAAAGACTCTTACCCCGGGATCAACCACCGAAGCATGGATAAACGACGAAAAGCATAAATAGAAGAGGTAGGCAAACAAGATCGGGATGGCAGGAGATATATGATGCCAAAGCCAGGGAGCCCTATGTGCATGGCGGTCAGTCAAGATTGTATCAGGATCCTCAAGAGCCGGGATCTCTCACGAATATGCGAAGAACAGTGCCGAGGGCACGACCACGAATATCCCAGTAGCAATATTGACGGGCTTGTCCCTCGAGTTCTGCAACCTCCCGCCGCCAAAGAATATCGTGTTGCCGACAAAGTACTCATAATTCTTCCCCAGACGACTACGCTTAGTAGTTTGGGGTTGCTTCTCAATCGACGCAGGTGTCGACCCGGCAGAAGACAGCCTCTCGTGCGCGCGATCACGGGCTTCTTGCACATGGTTCCTGTTCTGCAGCGAGAGAAAGGAAAGAGGCGATCTTTGAGGGGCATCAGGAGCATTCGGATTGCCGTGGTCCACGCCTAGGTTGAGATGTGGTGGCTTGAGCTTGTAAGCCCTCTCCCTGTCGTGGATAAGCTTTGCACTCTCGCCTATGCTCCTCCCCGTCGTATTGCCCATTGGGCTAGCATTCGACGCTGTTCGGTCGGGGATGATAGGGTCTGTGAATTCGGTGCCTCTCGAAGGAGGGGGCTCTTGATCTATTGGCGGGAGAGAATCTCGAGGTGCGGTGCTATTCGAGATTAGACTCTGCCGGTTCTGGCTGCCGAGCTCGCCCCATTCTTCCGAAGTGTCCTTCGTGGTTCCTTTCGTCATCGGTCGACCTCTATGGGCCTGAAGTCGCTGGGATGACATTGGACGAAAGAAGCCCTGCGCCGTTAAGGAAGGAATGTGAGATCGACTCAGTCGACTGCCAGAACTTCCAGGCCTTGTCGTCGTCTGACTCGTGGTTGTGATGGAGCTCCTTGCGGGTGGAGGTACTCGTCGGGATACAGACGGTCGCGAGCGTGGCGGTTGCGACGACATAGCAGTAAAGGCTTGGGAGTTCTCTCCGTCGTCTGAGGCCATATCGGTCACTCGCGACGATATTCCGCCCACGGAAGGGGGTCGCGGTATACCCAGCGCATGTTGCGCCGGCGGGGCATTCGGCGCATCGCTGGTCTCCGACATTGCTGGGAAGAGAAAAGTAGGTTGTTTGTATGGCGTCGTCAATGATCAGGGTTCCGTGAATCAATAGCGCGCATCAACCATGTTGCAGCCAGACAGGGGTAAAAGAGGATGGATAGATTCGATAAACTAGATACCGGGAACCGGGGACCGCAATTCTTCGGTTAATGAGTAGTATAGAACAGGGTCGGATCAAAGTCGAACTTAAGACGGTCTGAAGGAGTGACAGGAAAAAAAATCGTAGATCGAAGTAGAAGTGATTGAATAATCGGAAATGAGCGTAAGCAGCCTAAAGAGAGCACTGGCCGATTAGTTTCGCGGACAATTAATTTCGAATTATATCGGGGGTCGGGAGGAGAGGGCTTGGGCCAACCCCTGTCCAAGGTATATGAACCCAGGGCAGGAGAGTTGTACTGTAGCACCGAACTAACGGACCTGGAGGAGGGGATGTAGAAGGGGATGAAGAGGAGGAGGCCTTCTTAGCAACCGGAGCCCATCATAGTACGATCGCAAGGGCGACCATGACCTGAAGATGGGAGGGGGGGGGTTTTGGTGATGGTGGTGGGCTGTAAGGAAGCGTATCAGCGTCACGGGGAATACCTAAGGCACAGCCAGCCAAAAGGTCGCGACTGGGCAATGGCGGCCTGAGGAAAGAAAAGTCGAGGACGCCGACTGCAGTGCCTGCCCGGGACCGACCGACCGACCGTATGATACTCCACTCCGTCACTGCGTGCAGCCTGAGCAGCCTTATTATGGCCTGACAAAAAAGGCAACAACGGGCTCAGCTCAGCTCAGCTTTAGCAGCTGAGTCAGCCCTTCCATAGCACCAGAAAGTCAAAATCCCGCTGGCCAACGGGATGTCACCTGATGATGCGCCGGCAACATCATCGTCCGACACCCACCGATTCTCAACCCCCCCCAGCCAAATCAAACCCACACCTCATACTCTCTTACCCCAAACAAGGGCTGATACACATTCAACTACAATTCACCACAATGTCCTCGATCGCTGCCATGGCCTCTCGCCGGGCCTTCGCCCGCCAATCCCTCCTCCGCGCTCCCCAGCGCCGCTTCCAGTCCTCCAAGCTGGAGCAGGCCAACCTCGACAAGGCTCCCAAGCGTGACCCCGAGCTCTACGTACGGCAGCCACTCTCAATTGAAAACGCGGGCCAATTTCCTAACCAGCATTACCCCTTTAGGTCCTCCTCGGTGTCATGTCTGGTGCTTTCCTGCTTGCCGGATGGTAAATCCCCTCCTGTCCGCACGACGACACACGAATTCGCTTTTGCAAAATTGGCCTTCTCCTCCTCCTCCTCCTCCTCCTCCTCCTCCTCCTCGGCCGTTCTTTCACACACATCGCAAACCCAATTGCACTTCCACCCCAATTCTGGTCAATGTTCCAGCTACTCTGTGCTAATGTGTTCCTCAAAATGCAGGTACTTCGGCCGCAAGCCCACCTCCGTCACCTCCGAGAGCAACGTCCGCATCGGCGAGAGTGCCATGCCCTGGGAGCAGGCCGATGCCGAGGGCAAGGTCTACAAGTACCAGTACCACCCCCACGGTGACAAGAGCCAGCCCCTGCGCAACGCTCCCAGTGCCTTGAACACTGTCATCGTCCCCAACGTCACTCTCCCCGCCGTAAGTAGCCGCTGCTTTTATTTAAGCCCCCCCTCCCCACTCCCATGTACTCGGTTTTTGGGCATTGAAAGAACAAGGTTGCTAAACCCTCTAATGCTAGGACCTTCACGAGCGCTTCAACAAGTACGGTAAGGAGGAGTGGGACTACTAAACGGTCCCGCACCATGTGGAAGGGATTTGATTGATGTATTGAAGTTGAGGCAACATCGGCAACTGACCGCTGTACACTAAAACTTGTGTGAAGATGTGAAGATTAGAGTGAAGTTTATGTGGGAAAGGAGAGAGAGAGAGTACTGATAACAGCTTTGTGCATAGTTCTTTTTTTTGACGAGATTCTTTTTTTGGAAGACTATCGTTTCTGTTCTTGTTTCGTTTCACAAATACCTGATCCTTTAAAGTGTAAGATGTCACAAGTAGTAGAGTACTTCATTGATCTCGCAAACAGGTGTTCATGTACACAAAAGTCACATCTCGTTAGTCCGAAGAGGAAAGATTACTGTCGAAGAAAAGTACAGGAAAGTAAATAAGCAGAGCTAAAGATCGGATGAAAATACAAACAACCCCCAACTAAATGCTCCAAGTCTATTTCGTTCAAGATTTAGTCGCCTCATTCACCTCACTGGCCGGCTTAGGGTCCGCGGAGCCCTTCCGTTCCTCGGAGCTCCCGTGCCCAACTACTGAAGCTGGACCTTCCTCGACATCTTGAGGCTGATGTCTTTGGATGGTTTCGGGGTTCTGGCCCTCAACATCCGGATGCGGCGGAGCAAACTCGATCTCACCGTCAACCATATCAACGAGATGACCCTTGTCCAAGCGTGTCGAGGTCTCGTGTCGGGTCTCGAAGGACACCTTGCCCTCCTTTCTCAATGAGGCAACGAGCTCCTCATCCAGGATGTTGCCATCCTGATCGCGGTATTCTACTCGTGCCTTGGTGCTGTGACGGGCCCGAGGCGTCACCGCAGGCTCTTGAGGCTCTTCCTGAAGAACTTCCTGAGCATGCTGTTGAGGCGCATCCTGAGGTGGGGCCACAACGGGAGGGGCCTGTGGAACAGATGTCTCCGTAGGCGGAATAGCCATGTTCGCGTTACTATCAACGTACTGAGTCACGTAATGGCTTAGCTAAGGCGATATGTCAGTCATGACACCCAGGAGTATTAAAGCTTCTCAGCCCTAGGTTAGGGTACCTACATCGGTGTAGAAGGTGTTGCAGTCAAAGTCCCAGGTATCCAAGAGCTTCACTTGTCTGCAAGCTTCCTGGGTCCAGGGGTTGCCGTAAACCAAGGGCGAATAAATGACGAAGGTGAAGATGCTAAGGGTAAGGAATAGACCAGCCAGGATCTTGCCAATCACAGGCTTGGATGGCAAGCCAAGCGATCTAACGCGATTGGCGATGAAGTCGAATTCCTGACAGAGTGCCATTATCGCAAAGTACAGCGCCGGGAAATAGTGGTGCAAGAAGAGCTGCCGGGCCATGAGATAGAAAGGGAAGTAGTGGAAAGCCCAGCCGAGGACAGTGGTGCCAATCTCGTAGTCAAAACGCTTGAAGTTAACGTTGCGATAGTCACCGCAGCTCCGCTGCCAACGAAGGACAGAAACGCCCTTGAAGAGAAAGTAGACTGCGATAGCCACAGTCGAAGACCACCAGATGAACGGATTACCAAGGAGGTAGACCTGACGGTGGTCTTTGCCCCAAAAGTTGATACCGCGGAGTAGGGTAGGCCACGAGGGAGGGCGAGAATCCCAGGCGTGCGATTCCGTGAGACCGGCATTCGTCACCCACATCACCTTCTGTAGTTCGAAAAACTTGCCGAAAAACCCAGGGTTCTTGTAGTTGACCTTCTCCGCATCTTCAGCCAGCATCGGGTGGTTGTTGGATTCAATATACCAGACACTGTTTGGTAGCGTGGCTCCCCTGGCGCAAGTAACCTCCTGCTGATCGAAGCCCCACTCAGGAAGCTTGACCTTGTGAGAGAACAAAACGCAGTTAGTCATGACGTGTACGAGGCGGAATTTAGTTTGAATAGTCCGAAGCCGCTTCTTGGCTTCTTCACCATCGGACATCGACTTGACGATCTCAACGCGGAAGAGATCGTTTGCGTCGCCAGGAAAGCCGTCATATCCGTATGCTGAGACCTCAAATTGCCAATCAACATCAGTCACGGGGGGGCGCTCATCGTGCGAATGGACTCGCCGGCGCGTGACAAAGTGGTTAAGCTTGATAGTAGCGCCGTCTTCGATGTATTCAGCGGTAATGTTGTCCCAAGCCAGAGGACCTTCCACCGTTCCATAAGGACCCAAGGGCTGTGTCTGGTTCTCGAGAATGAAGACGTTGTTTTCGTCCTTGTGGGGGTAAAGGGTGATCTGTTGCTGCTTGCTTCCCGTAGGGTACATGTGGTTGTGAGAGTGCAGGTAGCCTCCCTGTGTGTTGAGGTGGCGTAGGGAGACACGAGAGCCGAAGACAACGTCTGCAGGAACGTCCTGCATAGATTTCGAATTCAAGGTTGCCTGGAATTCCGAGGACATGAACCCGTCTCCATCTCCAGGGTTGACCAAGCACAAGAAGTGGATTGCGAACATCCCGCAGTAGAATGTCAGCGGGATGATGATGAGACAGAAAAAGCGGGCAAAGAAATGCTTGAACCAAAGACGCTAGAAAACAACATATTAGCTTCTCTCATGGGTGGAGCATAGGGTTCCATTGCATACCGGTGTGACATTGACCGTGTCGCCGAGCAGCACCCAAAGTTGGAGAACAGTGAGCGATCCAACCCACGCAACAGTGAACAAACCAACCCACTTGACACTCAGAGTAGCACCTAAGGCAAGACCAGACGCGACCAGCCAAAACCACCAGGATCCACGGAAAGCATGCGATGGCCCCATTTCATGTTGATTGGTAAAACATGTGAACGACAAAGCCGTGAGCGCGGTGAAGAATACCAACGGAGAATCCAAGAGAATCAGACGCGATTGAGTGATTAGACCGTTTTCTGAGCCGAGTTAGCAGACATTATCCAGCCGCCACTGAGCCATTACTCACCGAAGATGACAACACCGGCGCCCAAAATAGCCGAAATAGTGCGGCAGCCCGACGCCTTTAGAGTCAAGAACATCAACGGGACTGTCAGAACACCCAGGATTGCTGGAAGCATCCGCATCGCAACATAAGGCACCCCGGGCTCGAGGTAGTCCTTGCCAATGTCCTTAAAGTCGAACTCGCCATCGAAGCCTGCAAGCCAGCCAGCCAGTGTGAGGAGAAGTTTAGCAAGCGGAGGATGGACATCCATGAAAAAGCGGCCTTTGATATATTTGGAGGCGAAGCCACCGAAACTGTTCATGAGATCGTCAGACGGGAGTTGTTCTAGAAACTATGCGCAACGGTGATAATCTCAAGACATACTGGACTTCATCGAAGACAACGCTGGAGGGCTGGTAGATCCGGAACAGACGAACCACCGCAGCCACAATGGTCACTACGACCAATGTCTTGTAGTCGGAGGCGGGGAGCTTGAAGATGTTGTTGTCCGTAACACCTTCCGAGGCGTAACTGGGTGCCCGCACAGTCACATTTTTGCGACTTTTCGGACCCGGAGAGCGACTTGAAGAGCGTAATTGCGACTTTGGTGGGGGTTTGACCTCCAAGGTGTTCTTAGATTGGGACGCCATTGTTAAGGCGCTTGAAAGTTGGTAGGGTCAAGGAGCGAGGAGGGGACAGGTTCAAAGGGTCGGGTGAAACAAACAATAACCCGATTAGATCATCCAGATATTGCTGCGGGCCAGCGAAATGACGAAAGCCGTGCAGTCAATTGCTCCAACTCCAGGAGGGAGCCTTGGAATAGAAAAAGCCCGGCGCTTGGTGCAGCAGGGATAGATTTGAGATAGGAGAGATCAAAGAAATAAAAGGAAAAGAAAAGAAATCAATGAACGAGTGTAAGAATTAAAAAAGAAGAAAGGCCATGACAGCGGGGGGGTGGGTGGAAGCAGCAGCAAGAAAGGTAAAGGAATGGGGTGGTGGTGGTGAGGAGAGATGGATGGAGAAAGAGGGCAAAGACAACACGTGTGGGACGATTAGGGAGGCGGGATGAAAGCGTAGTTGACCGGTTTGAGGCCAGATCGTCGGGTTAACCTTAGTGGTAAGTATTCCGTAGCTGCGTAGTAGCCTCGTAGGGGATTAGGAATAGACTAAGTGAAACTGCCCGTCAGCAAGAGAAAGCGACAGGGAGAGAAGCATCCATCCATTGAAGCATGCAGTTCCGATCGGTGGCTGGCCTGCTGCGGCGGCTGGACCCTCCTTCCGCCCCGATGCAAACAGTACGTATGCACTGTGCATAGTAAGACTGAGAGCCTGGCACTGCCTCCCAGCCAAATGGGGGCGGCAATGGTCACGATACGGAGGTCGGAGTTGGGGCACAATTCTCAATATAATGAAATGCACTGTCCTGACTGGCGTTACTTCTTTGTTTAATCTATTTTGCATACAGTGCTCAATTTGTATAAGCATAATCAATTCCATGGCAATTTCATCACGAGGATATGGTATGGCCTCGGAGGACAGGAACCGTTCGTCCGCTCTAAGCCTAGACTCCCGGCTTTCCGCCAGCCAATCACACTTCATCTCTGCCAGCCGCGCGGAACCTCTGAGGAAGTTCACCGCCCGCGCTTAGTCAGTCCGCAGCAACCGCCGTCCGGGAAGAGACTCGCTATACGGAGTAGATGAAGTCCAGCCCGAAAAGGACATCCCGACGCCCGCAAGACCACTCTCGCATCTCGGATTTCTGTCTCTTCAACAGACTGATCTCCCCTCACCGGCTTGAAGTATGGCCGCCGTTAGTAATGGAAGTACTCCGTTACCAGAAGATGTGAGCAAGCCCCCGGAGGGTGTGGTATTGCCACCCAAGGATATTCGAGGTTAGTCCTAGCTTCGGCCAAAACTCGTCCGCAAGTATTCACACTGACAATCTCAACAGCAATTGTCGAGAAGACCGCCGGTTACGTTGCTCGAAACGGTCCTGTGTTCGAAGGTAAGTTCTGGCCCACCGATTCCATGGCCCCAAGCTCCGATTCCGACCTCTAACACATTCCGGCTTTTCTCCAGATCGTGTTCGCGAGAAAGAGCGAAACAACCCGAAGTTCTCTTTCCTTAATCCCGACGACGCATACGGCCCATTCTACCAATGGCGCCTCATAGAGATCAAGGAAGGGCGAGGGTCGACTGCGCTCGCAGGTCGTCCCGGCGAAGCCAGCGCGGCCGCGGAGCCTGAGAAGCCCAAGGGCCCCCCCGAGCCCCCCGAGTTCCACTTCTCCGCCCGGATGCCCATCATCAACGCGCAAGATCTCGAAGTCGTCAAGCTGACGGCCCTGTTCGTGGCCCGACGCGGCAAGTCCTTCATGACCGCCCTCTCCCAGCGCGAGGCCCGCAACTTCCAATTCGACTTCCTCCGCCCGCAGCACAGTCTCTACTCGTTCTTCACGCGCCTCGTCGACCAATACACGATCCTGCTCCGTGCGGAGGGCATCGACGCCGCGACGACGGAGAAGAAGCGAGTCGGCGAGCTGGAGCGCAACGTCCAGAACAAGTACCACGTGCTCGACCGCGCCAAGGAGCGCGCCGAGTGGGTCAAATACCAAGCGCAGCAGAAGCAGGAGAAGGAGGAGGCCGAGGAGAAGGAGCGGATCGCCTACGCCGAGATCGACTGGCATGATTTCGTCGTGGTCGAGACGGTGCTGTTCACCGCGGCCGACGACCAGATCGATTTGCCGCCGCCGACCTCCCTCCACGACCTGCAGTCCGCCTCCCTCGAGCAGAAGGCCATGATGTCGCTTAACCCGCTGCGCATCGAAGAAGCCATGCCCACCGACCTGGACGCCTCCAACTACTACAACGCCTACCCGCACCCGCACTTCCCCGAACAAGTCTCCCAACCTTTCGTCCCTGAGCCCACCCCCGTCCAGAACACCGCCGGCCCCATCTACCCGCCCCACGTCGGCCTCCCCATGCCCACCGCGCCCGCCGCCGCGCTCACCGCCGCGCACCAGGAAGAGGAGCGCTGGATCCGCGAGCGCATGGAAGCGCGCGATCAGGCCGCCGCCCTCAAAGCCAACGCCACCGCCCAGCCCCAGCAGCAACAACAACAGCCCATGCGCATCCGCTCCGACTACGTCCCGCGCGCGCAAGCCCGCCGCCAGAACGCCGGCGGCGCCACCGCCCTCTGCCCCAACTGCCACCAGCAGATCCCCGTGGCCGAACTCGAGCAGCACATGCGCATCGAGCTCCTCGACCCCCGCTGGAAGGAGCAACGCGCCAAGGCCGAGTCGCGCAGCGCCACCACCAACCTGTCGACCGTGGACGTCGTCAACAACCTCAAGCGGCTCGCCAGCCAGCGCAGCGACGTCTTCGACTCCTCCATCCTCCCCACCGACGGTGCCGCCGCCGCCGCGGCTGCTGCGGCTGCAGCAGCGGAGGATTCGCGCAACAAAAGGATGGCCTTCGAAGGTGCCCACGGGCAGGGTCCCGTGCCCGTCGGTCCCGCGGGTGGCCCTCCTAATCCGCAAAATATGAGTGTCGAAGAGCAGATTCGACGGATCCACGAGCGACAGGGTAACTACCAGCGGTAGCTGCTATTCCACCAACGAAAAGAGGAGTGGTAATTGGGTATTTTGAAGCTGTTATTGATTTGTACGCTCGCGGGAAAACCCCACCCCCACTCCCACCGGTGCTAAATTCATCCGATTTCACATCTTTCTCATGGCGGCGTTTGTTCTTTTTGTTCGTTTTTCTCTAGTCCCCATATCTTTGTGTCGGAGCATGTATAACTTGACTCGCTGGTATTTCTCTTTTTTTTTTCCGGATGCGAGAGACGAGACAGGCCCATCCTGTCGCAAATATCATGACCAAAACAAACCCCCTTTGATGCAGTCATTCCACGCCATTACTCGTGTACGGTGTAGGCTACAGGGTCTGTATGCTTTATGCTTATTGCTCCAGGTGTTAAGATCATCATAGATTGTAATATGTGCATGTGTAGAAGCTCGTCAGCCCATGCTTCGGTATCATCCATCTCGTATGCCACACCATCCTGTCACCATGTATGGAATGGTATCTAGTACCAGCAATAGAAGCAAAGACTAAGAAGCGAAAGAGAAGACGACAAATAAGGTAAAAAGGAGAACAATCTTGGGAGAAGAAAATCTGAAGAAAGGAACAACGAAGAATCAAACTCGAATGCAATGTCATGGTTCATTCGCGGCTCCTTTCTGCGTGATCAGGAGTCGCGCTCGGCAAGAGAAAACAACAGCGTCTGTGAGCAAGACCAAGAACAGAAAAAGAAACGAAGATAGGATATTATTTAAACAGGGCGGAAGGGCAAGTTCAGTAAGAATTAATAATACATACCATGGGCTGCGCTTGCTCTGAAATATGCCTCAGGCAGCAAAGCGACGGGATCGGTGAGTGATTAAGCAGGCAGCCACACGAGAAAATCTTCGGGTATGAAATGGAGAGAAAATGATATATAGCAAGTGGATATCGAAACACGGGGCTCTGAAACGCGAGAATGGAAGGTCGACAACATTGTATCCGTGTGTTCGGAAAGTAATTTGGGTGCAATGAATCAGCAAACGCCACTCTTGGTTGTAGGGTGACTGATAACAGTCTCCTCTATATGCACGGAGGGTTGGGGTTCTTCGTCAACATGGGCAATCTGGGCGATGTCCGATGGCCCGTCAATTTGTTCATGTGTATCATGGAATAGTTTTTCATGGTCTTCGGTATCCGTGCCATCATCAGGCACCGTGACAGTCACCGGAACCGCGACGTCCGCGGGAGCAGACACGAAAGGGTCCTCGTTAAGGGAGGTCTTGTCCTGCAGTTCGTTATCAAGCTCGTCGATATTTCGAATTTGCAGACTTGCGTGATCAACCTCGGGCGTGAGGTCTGGTAGGCTTTCTTCCGGGCCATCGACAATCGTCTCCAGAGGATTTTCTGCTGCACTCGAGAAACTCTCGTGATGTGCGTGCTGTCGGTGTAACTGGTTGAATAATGGAATGATGCCGCCACCAATTCGGGACCAAAACATTCTTTCCCTCAATCTGATAGTTTCATCCCAGGCTTCCTTCTCCTCTTCGGCATCCCCAATCCGAACATGCCCATCGAGAATCAAGCGAAGATACCCTGAAAACTCGCAGCATGATCGCACTTTCTCCAAGCAAAGCACACATAGCGGGTAGCGCTGGGCGGTCTCGTTATCGGAAGTGCGGAAACGATGAGTCCTCTCGTTGACGGAGCCGGTCCGGCGTTCGCCACAGAGTGAACATGGGAACTCGTACCGCTTAGCCGATGAAGGCATAGGCTCAACCAAGAGACTACCCTCACAAATTCCACCCAATACAGACCGCCGAGTCAGCCAAGAGATCCCGGGGGCGGCATCCAGTCGCAGTGTTGGCTCAATATCTTCTACAACCACCCGCTTGTAAAAACGAGTTTCCTTCAGTGGGATGTGGGAAGTGACCGGTTGAGGAGACGACACGCTTCCGCTGGGAGAATGGGTATTGGATTTCGCAGGCGACGAGGACGCAGAGCCGAAGCCGCCAGTGCTTAGACTAGCTAGGCTCATGACATTCAAACCGGCGTAAGACCCACTGGTGGCACGACTCGGCGGCTTTGACAGTCTCGATGTGGTGAACAGTTCTCGGAAGTCCTCGTACGCTTGTATATCGGTGCGACAAACAGCCTTGATTAGGTGTGGGAAACTGGTCGAAGGGGCCGGTGTGATATCTTCCGTTGCGATGACATCCTCGAGGGCATCCGAACTCTCCATGTTCTTTCTGATGGATGGAGGCCGCATGGGTGCAGCTGGAGAGGAGGGCGCAGTTGAGATGATGGTCCGAGCATCAGCATCGTCCTTGGTGACGTTCATTCC